AGCTGCCTGCAAGACTAAGGTGGAAAGATTGCTTGAGCGTGGAAGGACCAGACTGCAGTGAACCATGACCATGGCACTTCACTCCAGCCTGGGTGACAGGGCAAGATCTTATTAAAAAAAAAAAAAAAATGTTAGCCTGTGTCTACCCAATTTTTTCTAATGATATTCAGTGAAATGTCAACCAGCACTTTTCCAAATGAATTATCTATTAGATAGCACTTCCCACATCTAGATTATACTAGTAAATAAGTGATTCATTTATTAATCAGGACCCTGAAAACTATCTTCTAAATCTTTAAATAAAAGATACATTTTGTTCATCATAGGTTTATAATTAATTTTTTATGTTTTTATAAGTTTTACCAAGCTGAGAACCTGTAACTGGAATGCCTCATTTCCTCACTCCCATCCAAAGTATCCTACAATAGGGAGTTTACTGAGATATGATTTGTCATTATTTTATTTATTTTGTTTTCATTTATTTAGTTAGTTTTTTTTTTTTTTTTGAAACAGTGTTTCTGGGCAGCCTCCACCTCCTGGGCTCAAATGATCCTCCCACCTTAGCCTCCTGAGTAGCTGGGACTACAGACATGTGCCACCACACTCAGCTAATTTTTTTATTTTTCTGTAGAAATTGGGATCTCCCTTTGTTGCCCAGGTTAGTCTTGAACTTCTGCGCTTCAGTGATCCTCCCACCTCAGCCTTTCAAAATGCTGGGATTATGGGCATAAGCAACTATGCCTGGCTTTCATTATTTTAAAAAGTGAAAGTTGAATACATTCTACTGTAATCTTCTTTGAACAGTAGTGTTGCACCAGTGAAGAATGCTAATGCATTGCTTTCTATATATTTGACTGTTAACAATTTTAAATCACAAACTTCCTTTGACAGTGCTAAAATGTGCCATGTGGATCAGAATTTCATTTCCAAGCTTTAGCTTCCAAGTTAAAAGCACTGATTCCTTTGGCAAATGAATTCTGTATTAGATATCACTTCCCATCCCCAGATTATACTAGTAAATATATACTAGATAGTACTAGTAAATAAGTGATTCATTTATTAATCAGTACTCTGATTTAATGATCTAGGCACTGGGGCCCGCTAGTTTGGGGGCTGGGAGGAATGTTGTGCGTAAAATGTGGGGTCAACAGGTCTAAGTGTGACTCCTGGCTTTCAGTCATCATTGAACCCGTATTTATTGAGCATCTAACATGTGCCAAGCCCTGTGCCAACCACCAGGAGATGCAATAATGAGAAGCTGTCCCAGTGCTTACAAGGCAATGGATGTAACAGACAACAACAAGTAAACAAACAAACTCACATTTAGGAGCAATAAAGGAGCAATTCCCCCAGTATAAACCTGATGATCAGGGAAGGCTTCCCTGAGGAAGTGATATTTGAGCTGAAGAATGAGTTAGAAATGAGCAAGGGACAGCAAATGGGCAAAAGCATTCCAGACACATGGAACATCCAGCACAAAGGCTCTAGGAGGGAGAGAGCTAGGTACCTTGGATAAAATGAAAAAATAGCCCAAGCGATGAAAGCAAAAAGGTGAAGGCAAGAACGTGGCTAGAGAGACACAAGGGGATCAGATCATACTGGCCATTGTAGGCCACACTAAGGATTCTTATCTTCATCTAAGATCTTCATCATTTGGAAGCCAACAAATGATTTTAAGCAGAGGAACAGCCTAATGACTCTGCCTACAGTGTGGAGAAGGAATGGGGTGGGGTTGGGAGGGAAAAGGCAGAATGTATACATGGAAATGATTGCAATACAAGGTGGTGGAGTCTTGGACTATAGCATCTATGCGGGAGACACGGAGAAGTGGGCCTATTTGAGAAGTATTTCGAAGGCAGAATCTGCAGGATGTGGTGATGGACCATAAGTGCATGTTGAGAAAAAGTAGGGGGTTCAGAAGGATGCCTAGGTTTTTGGCTTGAGCAACTGAAACAATTGTGGCACCATTCACTGGGAAAGAAAACCACTGAAAGAGGAATGGGCTTATGGAGGAATATGATGGGCTCTGCCTGGAAACTCTGAGTCTAACTGCATTTGGGACTGCAAAGTGCTGATGTTA